GCCCTCGGGAGGCGCAGGGTCTGAGGAGGCCCCCGGCTCAGGTCCACCCAGAGCCAGGGTCTGTGATCTCATCTGGAAGTTGCATCTTTGCAGATGGAATTAAGATGAGGTCATGCTGAAGTAGTGCAGGCCCCACGTCCAGTGACTGGTGTCCTTATGGGATGACGAGGTGACACATAGCGGGAAGGTAGCCAGGAAAGTAGCCGCAAGCCAAGGAGTGACAGTGTCCCTGCAGCCCCAGGAACTGAAGAGACAAGGGTCCTCCAGGGTCTCGCGAGGAGCTCGGCTGGCCAGCACCCTGTCGCGGCTTCTGCCCCAGGACTGTGAGCTGTGTGGCCGTGTCCAAGCCCCCCATGGTCAGGGAGTGGCTCGGATCCTGAGCTCTTCCTCGCTCCTCCCAGGGTGATGGGTGCCCCAGGGACGCTCAGGACAGCAGGCTGGGGCAGGGCACCCAGGAGGCTGAGTGGCTGAGAGAGCTCCGCAGGCTCCTCGGGGACCCCAGCTCCCCAGGGGCAGCCCTGCCAGGCCCCACCTGCACCCCCACTCCGTCACACCCCGTCACCTGCTCTGCTCCCCCGATGGGGCCTCCTGTCCCTCCCGCCTCTCTGCCTGCTGCTTCCTGTGACCTGGTTTACCCCCCACTAACACAACTGGTCCCAGCTGAGCATGTGGCCCTCAGCAGGTCAGTCCCTTCACCGCTATGAGGTCAGAACTGTTATCCCTGGTTTTCACATGAGGTAAATGAGCTCAGGACCACACAGGTTGGGGTCTGTGCCACGTGAGCCTAGCACCCATTTCTGGGTCAGGCATACTGTAGGTGCTTAATGAATGCTCATTAACCAAGTGTACTCAGATCTACTCTCCATACCTGAATTCGTGTTTACCTATTTTGAGGCTCTGGGGGTGGAGATTTGGGGCTCCTGCGGGATGAGTAGATACTCCACCACTGAGCCACACCCCTCTGAGCCACACCCACAGAGGCATGCCCCATGGAGACACCTCCACCAAGCCACGCCCCTCTGAGGCTCTCCCCCTACTAAGCCACGCCCACTGACCCACGCCTCTCCGAGCCACTTCCGACACCAAGCCACGCCCATCAGGGCCACGCCCCCAATGAGCCATACCCCTCTGAGCCACACCCACAGAGCCACGCTCCATGGAGACAACCCCACCAAGCCAAGCCCCTCTGAGCCACGCCCCTCAGGGCCACGCCCCCAATGAGCCACACCTTACTGAACTATAGCCACAAAGCCACACCCTCTGAGCCACTGCCCACTATTAAGCCACACCCACTGAGCCACGCCCCTCTGAACGACTTCATACCACCAAGCCACGCCCCTCGTAGCCACGCCCATTTAGCCACACCCACTGAGCCATGCCCCAGGAGCCATTCCCATCCACTGAGACACACCCAGCTCCTGGGTAGATCTCTGGTCACTGTCATGACACATGCAGCTGGCCTATCTCCGCCATGTGGAATGTGTCGCTGAGCCCCGTCCAATGTGAAGCCACTATTCCTTTTGTCCTTCTTTGTTGCGCTGGAAAGTGCCAACTGGGTCCTGTGGGCGGGGACACTGGGCGTTGCGCGTTTCCAGTGGCTACTGCAATAAATGACCACAAAACTTCCCACCTGCTCTCCCTGCGCCCCAAGTTTGGGCTCTGGAAGTTTCATTTCTTGTTAGAAACAGTCACCTTCCCAAGAGAGACAGCAGCAGAGCGAAGACAGCCCAGCAGGGAGGAGCGTGGGGTCTGACTGCGGTTTGCTCTTCCCACCTATAGGATCCGCACTGAGAGCCCAGGGCAGCTGGCCAGGGCTGCTGCGTTCTGGACAGCACTCGGGCCCCCTTCCGTGGGTTGACAGTGGAAAATCGAACACCCTGTGTGCTGCTGACCAAGAGGTCTGGCCACCCTGGGGCTCCCAGTACCGCCGGCTCACGCCCACACCTTTCTCAGCTTGCTAAGGCTCCGGGGCGCCTGGGGCCAGCGACTCGAAGCCAGGTGAGATCCCCTGGGGCCAGCTCTGCCCGCGTCCCCTGGGAGTCCCTGGTGGACAGATGACGTTGCAGACCTGGTCTCTGCCAGGGTGAGACATGGCCCAGGAGTCCTCAGAAGAACGCTGTTTGTCCCTCTGGAGCCAAAGCCAGCGGCACCCAGAAGCACTTCTCTGTCTCGCTCCCGGGGTAGGATCCCCACCCCCGAGGGCCCGAAGCCCACCCAGCGTCCCCGTGGCCCTCTGGCCTCCCTCGGAGAGCCAAGCAGAGCTCTCAAGCTCGCGCCGGGAGGCAGGAATGGGGTGCGCTTTCCCTCAAACTCCTCTTCTTTTCTGGATTCCTGGAAGCTCTGTCCTAGTATTTTGCCCGTGGACATCATTGCACCTGGTGAAGGTCGAAGCACCTGTCCAGCTGCAGGCACCTCTGGCTGCCCGGGCCACAGAGCGAGGCTCTCACTGAGGGCAGCCGGTGTCTCCCTGTGTGGCCTGACGGCTGGGCCGACGCCCAGACCTACCTGCTTAGTCCCTGGATGCCACCACACACCGGGCATCCACCATGACGGCGGCTCCTGCTGCGGGCTGGGAAGGACAAGAAGAGGGGGTGCTTGCTCCTTGGTAGGTGCCACAGAGGCCCCCATTGTGCTCCTGGCCTGCCCTGCACAGCTGGGCAAGTATGGCTGGTTCCTGCACCTCTTGGGGGTCTCAGACCCTCTCCCTAAAGGCAGAGTAATAACAGGAGTCTGGGCGATGCCCATTAGCGGCCATGGGGGAAGATGTTTGTACTCTACTGTCCATGAGTCATTCAACAAACCTTGGCCGGGCACCAACTGCATGCCAGGTTCTGTTCTGGGCACTTAGGAGGTGGCAAGGACATGCAGGCAGCGGATGTTCCAGAAGACAGGCGGACTCCTCCTCGAGGCCCCGGGAGCCGTTTCTGACTTACTCTGGAAGCTGCCCAGGCTCTGCAGTGCTTGATGCCCAGTAAACCACTGGCCTTTTTCTGTTTTTAACGGGCAGTGGGGACCCGGAGCCTGGAGGGAAGGGCCAGAGACAGCGTGGGCAGGGAAGGGGCAGTCCCTGGGTAGCAGAGGTGACATCCTAGGCTTCCAGGCACCAGTGCTGACAGGCCCCAGGAAGGCCCCTCGGTCCCCTGGGCGCTGACCACTCACCCTGAGAACAGCAAGCCGGTGGCTGGGCTTCCCAGTGCAGCCTGACCTGCAGCCAGCAGAGACACTGGCGCATGGAAGTCCAGGGCACAGCTCCGCCACGCAGCGGACGGGCCAATGCAGGCGGGCGGGTGTGCAGACAGTGGGGTAAACACCAGGCTGGGGCTGGCTTCCTCGAGACTCAGCGTCCACCAGGACAGGGGCAGCGTTCCCGCCTGGGCCTCTGTGCCCCTCGGCTCTGCCCTCGACTAGGTGCCAGGTGGCCCCTGTGGGGCGTGCTTCTGTCCCTGGTTTAAGTAGAGCCCCTTCCCTTCACGTTCCCCGCATCCTTCCCGAACCTGGCCTGCTCTACTTAAACCTGGCTGGGCAGGCGCGGGCAGCAGGAGGCAGCCGGGCTTGGGAGCCCAATGGCCTCCATCTCCAGTCCTGGCTCCACCCTGGGCCCAGCAACCTTGGACGTGTGGGGAAGTGGGGACGGGCATGGTGTCCTCGCAGCCCTGAGGACGTCACTTGGACATGGCCAGGGCGAGGCCACAGATAAACAGAGGGGGGCTTGGGACCCCTCCATACCTGTGGGCACTAGATGGGCCCCTAACCCAGTGGGCCCCTGGTGTGGGAGGGGCGAGGGGACAAGAGTGTCCCACCCACGGGAAGCCCAGTTCCCTCCAACTGGTGTCCTTACCTGTGACAGCAGGGACCGAGTTACAGAAGCCAGAGTTGACACCTGGCACCTCCTGGCCTCAGACGCCAGTCAGTTGTTGAGGAGCGGCAACGCCCTGTGCAGGGGCCACCGGGCGCATCTGAGGGCCATCCTGGGCCACCGATAGGTCCGCGGGGGCTCCTGCTGTCGGGGGCCGGGGCCCGAGGACCCTGCTGCTCAGGCTGGGATCCACACATGAGGTGGGAGGCACAGGACGAGGGACGCGGAGCTGGAGGGGGCGGCGCCCCAGGGTGACCAGGCGGTGGGGGCTGCGGGCGGGGGAGGGACACTGTCCTCTGCGAATCTGAAAGGTCCAGCATGGCATGGACGCCGCTGCTGCTCTGGTGCTCACTCGGATGGGAGCGAAGGGCGGTGCCAAGCTCAGGGGCCACCAGAGGCAGAGGGGCACACCAGGCCACCGAGACCCTGTCCCCATGGACGGACTGGCGTGCTGGCTGGAGGACCCACTGTGGGGAGCTCCCGGGACTCTGCTGCCAGCCTGGCCCTGCCCGCCCTTCCCTGAAGGAGGGTCCCTGGAAGGTCACTGGACGTCCCTCTGTGACCATGGGGAGGCCTGGCACATCCCCGAAGAAGCGGAGTTGGGGGTGGGGTGAGAGCAGAGGGTCCCAGAGACCCCTGCCCACTCCAGCCTCCCGCGTATGGTCCAGGTCCCCCTCCTGCCCTCTATTGCCTCACCCACCCCAGCACCCAGCACCGGGGAGTCAGGGCAAGTTCAAGGTCGAGCCTGTTTGTCTATGGGCACCTTTCTGCACCGGGCCCGGGATCCCTTGGGGGGCAAAACTGGACGTGACCTCTCTGCAGTGACTGTCACATGGGAACCCCCCTCTTCTCCACTGAGAATGTTCACATCAGGGCTGTGCATACAGTCAGCGCTCCATAAATGCACACCCCACAAAGGGCGTCTCTAAAGAGGGCCGGGGTGAGCTGGGCTCTGAGACGGCCTACGGAGCCTCCCCGCGTGGGAGACGGCGGGCCTCGGCCGGGCTCCCCGAGGACTCTGGGAAAGAAGGATATTAACGTGCTGGACCCTAATCAAATCTGGATGATTTCACTGGAAACCTTTCCGCGATCCCATCAGCGCTGAAGGATCACAACAGCAACAAATTAGACCAACAGGCCCGGGAAAATGTGCCCGATTTAGAAACGGATGTTACAGTTTATTAACCAGCTAAATTAATTCGATTTTGAACCACTGTTAAATATACATTAGGATGTATCGCCCAGGAGCCCAGCGGGCGGGGGGAGGGCGGGGGGAGGCTGTCCTGACCTCCCTCGGGGCCTGTGCGAGGGGTCCACGCTGGGGTTCCAGGCAGTGCCGGAGCTGGAGAGGGAGGGAGGCCCAGGGAAAGCCCGGGCACCGCAGGCTCCACCCCAGGGCGGGAGCCAGGAGCTCCGTATCTCGTATCTGAAAGTCTCAGACATTCCTCCTTCAAGTACAGCTGGATCCAGGAGCTCAAGGTCAACAGGAACCGGCTTTTGGTTTTTCATGTTCTTCTACTGTCTGCAGGGCCAGGCCTGCTGTGAGAGCAACCCGGGACCCTCTGGCAGCCAGGACAGGCCTGGCCGTGGCCCTGCCCTCCGTCAATGCACAGAGAGCTCCCGCCGTGGGCTGAATGCAGCTCTGAGGCCACACTGTCCCGCTGGGTCCCGTTGGTGGCCAAGGAGCAGGAAATGTGGTGCTCACCGCTCTGGAGGCTGAGGCCCAAGGTGGAGGCCCCAGAGGTCCCACTCTGGTGAGGGCTGCTGCTCCCCAGATGTCCTCACGGGGTGGAAACTGGCCAGGGAGTTCTCTGGGGTCCCTGCTTGAAGTTAACACCCCCCGTGGGGGCCCACGTCATGACCTTGTCCCCTCCCACAGGCTCTGCCTCCCGACACCATCACATGCAGGGTCAGGACCTCAACCTGTGAATGTGGGGGAGACATAAACACTTAATCTGTAACCCACACATTGGAAGACATAGCCGGCCTCCCCTACGGGGCCTTTGCACCTGCTGAGCTGGTGGCCCAGAATGCTTTGCTTCCCCCACCAGCAGCAGCGCATCCCCAGGGACCCTGGAACTCCCGCTGGGCCTGCCCTGCCTTCCGGCTGGTACCTTCCCTACTGCGCATGCCCAGTGCTCAAAATGGAAGCCCATTTACATCATGGAAAGGGCAGGAAGCGAGGGACTTCTGGCCCCGGCCACTGCGTGGATGAGCCTTGAGGGTGTTATGCCAAGGGCAAGAAGCTGGCAGCCAGGGGTGCCCATGAGGAGACCCAGCTTAGAGGAGAGGAGGGCTAGGGCGCCATGGCCAGGATAGGGGAGTGGCAGTTACTGCTCCACAGGGCCAGGGACAGGGCCACTGTTCAGGGTGACAGGAGCCCCAGGAACCGGCTCGTGGCAAGTGTCACTAACACCAGACCTTGGACCTCACAGTGGCTAATGCAGTGGTTTTTATGCAATAGATAATTTACCACAATAAAAATGAAGAAAAGCTGTGTCTGTAACACCCCCCCCCAGCCGGCCTGGCTCCCGATGAAGATGAGGTGGAGCAGAAAAGGAAGAAAGGACAGAAGGAATCCGAGGAAGGACAAAGGGACCAGGACGGAGCCCAGACCTGAGCACCCACCCCGGCCCCTGGCCCGTCCCTCCTGACGGTCACTCCCAACTTCCTGAGAAATCTGTAAATCCTCGTGCTATGAGACCTCGCTGGTCTATGAAAATCACCCGGTTCGCCTGCTTACGAGAGCTGGTCGGCTCCGGGATGGACTTTCAGATTAGATAACGCAGCAATATATTTTAAGAAACCTATGATCCGGGCGCGTACCTGTTGATCAGATCAAGGAGACAAGTGACATCCTGAAGATCTCAGAGGCCAGGCCTCCACCAGCACCACGAGTGCCCGGCTGATGCTGTTCCCACATCCTTCCCGTGGCCGCCCCACACCAGGTTTCCTTTAGAGGAAGAGCCTGAGATCCCAGAAGCCCTCTGCAGGACGGACGCAGCCCGCACTCTGAGGACGCAGCCGCCACCTTTCACTTTCTAACCAGCCCTTCCTCTTGCTGAGCCCTGACTTAAGTAGGGGCCTCAGGGAAGCCTTTCAGAGACAGGACCCTCCCCAGTGCAGTTCAGGGCCCAGAGACCCTCCAGATGGCTCTGTCCCTGCTCCCAGCCAGCCTGTCCTGTGAGAACTGTGTCCCGGGCTCTGCTCCAGGTCCTGTCTGTGCCGGGGAGGAGGGGACCGGCTGAGGGGAGAGCCAGCAGGAACCGTGGGTGGCCCTGTGGGTCGGCGAGATCACCATCCAGAGGCCCAGGTGCTGGGCAGCCGGGCCAGGACCAAGGCCATGCTGTCGGAGGCAAGGGGCCGTGGACAGACTGGGACCCAGCTCTGTCCTGCCAGGAGTCCTGCCGCAGCCGTGGAAGAGCTGGCTGGGGGCCAGGGCCGGAGCCGCAGGCCCAGGAAGCCCTGCCCCCGGATCTGCCCGGGCCAGCTCGGCCCAGTGAACCCGGCCGTGAGCGCCACTCCCACAGGGTGACAGGATGCCCCCTGGCCGGTGTCCGGCTGGCCCCGGCCCGGGAGCCACCAGGCCCACATGCTTGGCGCACAGCGGAGACATTGACTGAGCACTTGCACGCCGCATGGTGATGACCCCTGGACCCCAGGGCCCCGGGGCACAAGTCACCAGCTCTGTTTGGCTCATGGTGGGCAGCAGGCTGGTGGCACTGGGCTGTCCTGGCCACACATCTGCTGGGCTCTGCTGGCTGCCCCTGGACACGCCCCTGCAGCCGAAGGTCAGCCAGTCCAGCCTCAGCCCTGCCGGTCCAGCCTCGGCCCCTCCACACGCCTCCTGCTCCCTCCAGGCCCCGAGGATGTTCCAGAGCACAGAGGAGCTAACTCCGGGGTCTCGAGAGCCCCTCGCCCCCTGCACGCTCCCTCACGTCCGCCTCGCGCTCCTGGAAGCCGGGGGTTGGGGGGCAGCGGGTTCCGTGATGGGGCGGCTGCTCAGGGGGCCTGGTCTCTGTGACCCACCAGGGCCACCTGCAGCAGGTGGGGGCCTCTCCCGGCCCTGTGGGACCCCTGCCCCAGGTCACAGAACCAGACAGGCCACTGCCCTCCCCCGGGTCCCATGGTCAGGGAGGGGACGGGAGGCTGTACCCGTGACCCAGTGTGGGGGGCTGGCGACTGTGAGGGGCCACCAAGGGGCTGGTGCTGGGTGAGTGACAGGGCCACAGGTGGGAGATGAGGACAGAGGGGAGGGGCGGGCTACAGGGGGCTTGTCACTTCACACTCTGGCTTTTTCTGGGGTGGGAGCCGCGGGGACCCTCGGGCGGAGCCTCCCTGCCGCAGGCCTGGGGCTCTGACATGATCCCCCTGTCTGATGGTGACCAAGGGACTTAAGGGGCCACGTGGCCGCCAGGAGCCCAGGGGCTGGACCGCTGCACCGTCCAGGTGTGCCACCATGGCCAGAGCCTGGTGAGGCTGGGGGGGTCTGGAAGCTGAGGCAGGGGCCACCAGGGGGCTGGACACACACACAGAGGACAAAGAGCAGCAGGGACTCCAGGGGCTCTGGGGCCACCACAGCAGGTGGCCCTGTGCTGGGGGACAGAGGAGCAGTCCAGTCCACCGTCCACACGGGGCAGGTCCAATGGGCCAGGAGCCGTCTGTCCCCAGCAGCCCGCTGTCTGCAGGAGCCCTCGAGGCCCTGCCCGGTGCCCGCCTGGTCCTGGGGACACAGTGAGCCAGCCAGACCCTCCCGCGGGAGCGGATGGCAGGCAGCCCGGTGCCATAGATCACCAGGACGACCCCAGGGCCTCCAGGGCATCTCCTGGAACGAGGCTCAGGCACAGAGGTCCCTGCAGCGCAGCTCCCTGGACCCGTCCTTGGTCATCACCGTGTCACGAGCCCGGAGGGGGGCTCAGCCCGCGCTCCATGCCACCCTTGCCGCACTCGGGGCGGTGCACACGTGTGAGCGTGAGTGTGTTCACACGCGTGTGTGGCTCAGGTTGGACCATAAACCAGGCCTGGGGAGGAGGATGGGGGTGTCCTGAGCACATGGGAGACGCCTCTGCTTAGCTGCTTGAAGCTGTGGGTTCTTGAGCAAGACTCCTAACCTCTCTGAGCCTCAGCTTTCTCCTCTGAAAATGCAGGTGTCACTGTGCCCATCTTGTCACACAGCGGGTGGGGGTAGTGACTGGGTTCTCTAGGTGATGAAGCTTCAGCGCGGGTCATGTACATCTTACCTCTGAGTCCTGAGTCCACACGCCTCGGGCATGTTACCCCCGAGCAGCGTCTCTGGCCCCTCCAAACTTTTTCCTTTTTCTTTTCTTTTTTTGAGACAAGGTCTCCCTAAATTTTTCGGAGCCTTGCCAAGTTGCTGAGGTTGGCCTAGAGCTTGCGATCCTCCTCCCTCAGCCTCCTGAGTCCCCGGGATTGCAGGCGTGGCCACCACACTGGCATATGACTCATTTCAAGATCCTGTGAGCAACTGGCTGCCGCCCAGTGGTGGCCATTCCGTTTACCAAGAGCACTGAGGTCTGCGTGACCCACAAAGGAAAAGGGAGAAACCGCAGTTGTTTGTTTAGCTGGGATTTGGGGTCATTCGTTACTGCGGCAAAACCTAACCTCTCCTGACTGGTGTACCATGGACTCGAGAACACGTGATGTCCAGGCGCACCGCGGGGGCCACAGTCAGCCTTACTCTTACTTAAACAACCTCCCAGAGCAAATGAGCAGGTCAGGACACTGAGTGGGGTGGACAGACTCTGAGGAGGCCCCACAGTCCCCCTCCTGGAATCTGCAGACCTGCTCCTCCCTCCTGCTGAGCGTGAGCCAGGCCGTGGCATTGTCACTCATGCCGTGAGCGACTCTGTGTCTGTCCCATGGGAAGAGTCCTCTGCTGGCCTTGGAGAAGTGAGGAGCCATGCTGGGAGGCCCGGGGCACAGACGGACTGCAGGGCCACCGCAGCTGCTTCTCCCACCTGGCTCTGGGCTGACGTCCAAGGGCAGGGTGTGGCAGGGCTGCGGCCTCTGACTTCTCCCTGCCTGGCTGGGTTCCAGCTTGCCCAATGTCCTCACGTGGACACCAATCAGGCTGCGTCAGGGCCACCCCGGGGGCCCCTGGTAGCTTAGTCACCCCTTCAAAGACCCTGTCTCCATGCGGTCGCATTCTGAGGTCCTGGGGTCTGGGCCTCAGCTCGGGAACCCTGGGGAGAGCGGCCAGCCGGCTCCATGGCCAGGCCCGGGTCCTGCCCACGGCCAGGTGAGCGGGAAGCAGACCCCCCAGGAGCCCCGGGAGCCCCCGGCCCCCAACACTGAGCAGAGAACGCCCTGGGCCAGGCAGACGCGTGTCCAGGGAGGACCCGCAGGCTGTGATGCCCCAGGGCCTCTGCTCCTGGGGTCCGGGACCCTTAGGGGTGAGGACCTGGTGCCAGGGTGCTGCCCCAGGAGCTGCCCCGAGCCTGCTGCCTATCCGTGGGGCTTCGGTCAGCTGCTGGGCAGCTGCCATCTTCTTTGCAGCCTGAGTGGTAGCAGCTCCTGTCCCCCTGCAGCTGGGGCGTGGAGGGCAGAGAGCTGAGGTAACCATTGCAGTGGACTCGGCCACCTTCACGGTCAGCGTCACTAACCCAGGATGCCCTGCAGCGGAGTCACCAAAGCATAGGGACGGGAGGAGCCCACGGAGAGCTGCCACGTCCCTCGGGGCGGGAGGAGTGGCCACGCTGCCCTCCGAGGCACGATGCTCCCACGCTTGCCATGACGCTGACCAGGATGTGGAAATGTCCCCATGTTCCCCAGGGGACCACGGAGGCTCCTACGTCCCAGGGCTTTCCCAAGGTGCCCCCGCTGCTGTGCCAGGCTGGGTAGAGCAGGCTGGGAACACCAAGGCTTGCCCCGCGGTGGCCCCGTGTGACCCCCGCGGCCAGGCAGGACAGAGAACGGGGCCCCGGCGTGTCTCAAGGGACTGGCTAAGCTGAGAAGTTTCTGGAACACGGTGGGATGCCCGGGAGGGCTGAGGTGATGTTTTTCAGCTGAAAATGTCCCTTGGGTAAAATTCCAGCCCTCTCCCTCCGTCTGCAGCAGGGACCTGGCTCCCTGAGACCCCGGCACAGGGAAGGGCGCTGCCCAGCTCCGTCCTGGAGTGGCCCCCAGCCTCCCCGGGGAACTGGGGCCAACGGCAGTGCATGGGTACTGCCCCGTACGTGCTGGGCCACAGCACACCCTGCCCAGCCTGGCCGGGGGCTTTCCTGGGACCCGGGGGACAGGCGGGAAGGAGGAGCCCGGGTGGCAGATGTGGGAACGAGGCTCAGTGACATGGGACGCTGGGCAAGAAGAAGAGTGGGAAGCAAGACCCCTGGAGGGGCGCCAGGGCACCGCCTGCCAGCCGGGCATCGCGGCCACGCAGCCCCTCCTCCCCCCTGGGCCCGGCTGACGCAGGTGCAGAGGAAACGCTGTCGGAGTCGGAGGCAGAAGGCGGCTCGTGTCCCCACATCGGCCGCTTGCTCAGCGATCCTGTGAGCCGCTGAAAATCCCTGAGACCGGCATAACCGGGCTGTGGCCCACAGTGACAAAGAGAAACGAGAAAACTGACAATGAGAGGGACCTTTCCTGCCGGCCAGCGAAAGTCAGGCCTGTGCAAGCGGAAAGGGAGAGTCCTGGCCCCAGGAAGCAGAATTCTAGGAATAGAGTCAGCTTCAGGCACAGCCAGATCCAGGGACTTGAGTCATGTCACCAGACCTTGGTCACACTCCCTCCTTGGCCTGTCCACTCCTCCATTCACATTCTCCCCGAGGTGGCATGCTGGCTGCCAGGAGTCCTACGATCGTCCCTGTGATCCGAGACAGAGAAGGAGCTGCCCCTTCCACGTCCCTGGCAAAGGCCGCATCGCAGGCTGGATCGGCTCTCCTAAGCCCACAGCGGATCGGAAGGCCAGCTGCGCCCACCCCTCCCAGCCTGGAGTTGGGCACTGTCTGCGGAGTGCGAGCAGAGGCCAATCCCCAGTGAGGACCAGGCTGGTGCCCACGAGAGGCAACAAGAGTCAGCTCCACCGGTGCCCGTCCTTCCGCCCAGATCCTCCCCTCCCCCCCTCTGTCCCCAGGCCGCCCCTGGGTGGCAAGCTGCCCTGCCTTCTGGCCTTGGCAGTGGGCCCTGTGGAGACCAAGGGCGGGAGGCCAGGAGCTGCCCTGGCCCTAGAGCGGGCGCTGGCTTCTCAGGGTGCCCCTGCCCTGCCCCTACAGGGGTCTACCAGGCTGGACGGCCCTCCTGGTCTTGGCGCAGGTGGGAGGCTGGGGCCACTGCATGGTGCGTGACCCTGTGGGCCCCTCCAGGCCCTGAACTGCGCACTTAAAGAGCACCCACAGCGAGCCGGGCACCGTGGCCCACGCCTGTAACCCCAGGGGC